TTTGATTAAATTCATATCCGACGCCTATAATAATAACAAACTTATAGATGGATAATTGGAAATTTTTGTATATCTATTTCTAATATTAAGGAAGTACTGCTCCAATTGCGTCTGTACTTTTTTAGACATAATATTATTGAGAAATACTGTGCCATTATACACCGTTTATAACGAATATTATCTGTTTGTGAATTTATGGTGGTACAATTTTTTATAGTTCTGTTTATAATGAAGAGCTGACTAGTAATAAAGCCTTACGCTTAACTCTAGAGCCCTGCTTAACTCACAACACATTGCTGATCAGCGAGAGGATCGTCTTTCTGTCGATAAACGTTTACATGATCTTCATATTGTCTGGTCGCTCGTCTTTAAGCTACCGAAGCTCCTCTCATTTATTACTCTAATCATTTTTCATATAGCAGTATAGCGCCGAGCTATCGAATTCTACAAAGCAAACTCTGTTCATACCGCTACCCTTCACTCGCCTTTCATTCTAATTGTGAAAATACCCTTTTACGTTCCCAATGAATGCATTATCTTCACCTTCCTACTTCTACGTATTTGATGATTCTGGAATCTCTCACTCATTCTAAACCCTCCTCACACAAAGTTCGTAATAACTATATCTCCCACATTATCGCCGGCGAAAATAACGTTTCTAAGTGTTCCTTCTGTTTCCATCCAGTTTTCGTTAACTATCCCTCTACTCTTCCTCCTACATAGCGTATCAACACCGCCACCACCTCCTTTATTCACCAGAGCCATCAAAGCCTATATATTAGCCAAACTTCTCTTCCACTTCTTTTCTAGAAATTGTTCTGTCTCTCCTCTTATCAACGCCTTCGATGATACGTAGCCATTATTCCTACACCAGCCGTCCGTTCTTAACAGGTTCACATTCGAATTACGGAAACCAATGTTCCTACATTCCCAATGCATCATCCACACCTGGTGCTATCATACAGCCAAGCTATACGCGCCACAGAAAATTGTCCACGAAAATGAATGACGGAAATCACGATTTCTATCCGTCTCGGTTTTCGTCCGTACTTTTATCCCCCCTCTCCCCACGCTCCTACTGCATCGCACATCGTCCATCCTCACCGTCTCATCATTCATCATTATTCTTGTACGAACTTTCAGATATATTACTCTCAAATATCGAAAGAACCTTTCCATTTCCGATCTTAACAATTCCTATTATATATTATATATCCTTTAGACAGCATATTCTGCTAATTTACGTGCAACTCCACTCTGATCTGATGAATAGACGCATTGAGAAGCAAAACTCGTTTTCTTCGATATAGAGGCTGCCACACATTGGAACAAAGTATTAATGTCAGCCAGACTAACAAGATTACCAATCATCGCTTTCGACAATTGTACTTACAGTATTGTTCGTATCAATTATTCCAAGCAATTAACGTTGAACAGTCCGGCATTGAAGAACAGATAAAAAAAAATCACGGCGTGCAGTACTGAAACCACGTTTTGTTGAATATCTATTCCAAGATCAGGGGATAATCATGTGTCAGGCGGGTCAACATAATGTGCAGATTTCTTAAATTGAACAAATGCTTGCAGAATGTCTTATTCAACAATATCTCCGTTTCTGTAAAACATACCGAGGTTGTTATGCTATTGCGCTCTCATATTTCCCTTCCCAGCAGCTTATTTTTGCGAAATAATTTCTCTAATCCTGGTATTGCCAGGTACTCATAACACATCCTTTTAAGTCTTGTCTTACATTCCAATGCTAACCAAGCGGTTTGTGCACCATACCACCGAGCTAGTTTTATTCAGACAAAATATCCATATATCCTCTTCCTTAGACCTCGCTCCTCTAATCCATCCGTTCGTCATAACTCAAAGTTCCCATTTGAAATAATAAAACTAATCTTTCTCGACTTCCTAGTCAAACTTGCAGTCTTCGGACAGTCAATCCAATCCGAGCCTTACACAATGCTGTTCACGTGTTAAAGCGACAGAAATTGTAATGTTGAGAGACACATCTTCTGATCGCATTGTCCTTGCGGTTATGTAGATTATGCAGAATTTGACGGACTGATTCGCAATAGTGCCTCGTGAACGCGAAGCGTCCAGAAATCGTTCTTCAAGATTATATCTAATTCATCGAATAATTGTCATAGTTCTATCTCAATCGCTGGATACCTTCCATGAGATACACGGTATTGTCTCGCTTTATACAATTCCAGAGGAAATTATTTTTACACTGTTCTCTCTCCACGAGAGCTCAAACTTTTGCATTGTTATCTGACAGGGCGTCAAACGTTCTTCTTTCTTGTGCGTTCATCTCATTAAATCTTTGATTGATTTAGATTCTATATGCAACAGTGACCAAAAGGATGCAATGCGCATATTCAATGCCCTTTGAATTAGCCTTTCTCCGTTGGGACATTGTAATTCGTTTATTAGCTTCTGGCAACAGGTTCTAATGTTATCTAACTTCCCCCACGATGAGAAATTAAGAGATCCATTATGACTTTTATACTTGTTATTGTTCGGTATACATTGTCGATTGGCAGATTGGCTCCGTAATAGTGACTCTTAAACATAAAACCATAAATCGTTGTTCAAGCGGTAATCCAGGAATTAAAGAATTCCGAGGATGCGGCCGCTGTAAGGATCGTAATTGGTGGTAGCAGCAATATATTACCGTTCCATCACAGGAAATGTCACAAAATAAGTATTATATTCCTGAATTATGTAGAACAAATTTGTCGTAAATCCCCGTTATTGTCGCTATCATCCCTCCGAGATACTCGTCTCGGTTATACAACACCCTGCTATTTATTGCATGGAAAGCGTTAACTGACAAAATTTACCAACGTCCAAATCCACATCGGCGTACCGAAGCACTGACGACCTAGTATCACCCCCGCGACATCAGCGCTCGGAAATAAAGATCCATATTGCTCTAACATCTTTCGTTCACTATTTCAGTATCGCTGATGACTCGTCTTGACTGACGACGGAAATTGGATTGAAGTATCTGGGCCTATCGAATGCGGAGTGTGTTCAAAGTTCTGAACGATTAGATATGTAATGGATTTGTTAATATTATAATTACTTTTCCTAAATTTGCACATTTCTCTTTCTGATCAGTAAAGACTGAAAAAATATCGCTTTCGTCATGACGAGATATAATGTTAATAGTATGAACATACATATGTATGGGCATCGGTTCTCATCCTCCAGTACAACCGTTAGCCGAAAGTTCGAAACGGGAATTCCCTCAACATACCCTCAGGGGCGTCTATTTTTTAAACACGGAATAAATTGTTAATTATAATGGACATAATTGGTTAGAGAGAAGCGCTTAATTTTTGATCCGAAAGGATTAAGCATACCATTTTGAGGAGAACAAATTTTCGAAAAAACCATCACTGATGTTCCTTTATAATCTCTCCGATGATTATGCAATGCCATTGGTCCAGATTTATTCGAAAATTTTGATTGGCCCCCTAGACGAAGCAAGTTAATTTTGGCCATTCTACTCGTAACTTTTGGCTCGAATTAGGAAAAATTAAGCAATGATATCATTATTGATATGTCGCTTATCCAGATATTTATGGGTAAGAGACTTCTGACTATTGTGTTTACGTCGAGCATAATCGCTAATCTAATGTTTCCTAGTAATGACAGCGATGCTGTTTTGTTGAAATTTAATTGACCTGTATCTCTAATTTGGATACTTTCTTTAAATGTAAATTTAAAGGGAAAGATATCATGCGGGGGGTTTTTTATTGATACTTAGCATTGAAACAAGATTAAGACTTTAAACGGTCTTTTATAAAAACATAGTATTAGTTATGTGGTTTCGAACTTTTCCAAGATGTTTGTCCGGTCTTCTTTTTCGTTCTTTCTCTATATATCCTCCATAATCTACGCGCCATTAAGCAAAACCCGTACATGTTTATGATTCCCCAATATTCTTCCAAACAAACAACTACAATAACAACAACCATTTCCACACGGCCGCCCCGGGAAACTTTCCGCCACTCGTTTATAAAAAACATAATTTTCTTGGCAGGCTTGGACTATTGAGTCAGTCTGCCTCTATCCCCGGAGTCTCTGTTCGCTCCAATTCCTCTCCTTCCCTCCGCAAGTAAAAAGGCTTCGCCCATTTCTTCTTTTCCTCAACCTGTAAAAGGCTTCACCCCTTTTTTCCCTCTCCTTCACTCTCTCAACCACTCAGCTGCTGAGTGGTATATTGTCGGTCATGCAAGCCATGGGTACTTTGCGGGATTGGCGGTTGCTCCTTGGGTAGGTTTATGGGGAGGGTGGGCAATGAGAGGACGGTAATGATTTATGCCTTCCGAGAATGAAAGAGAAGGCGCATAATGCATTGCATTCTCCAAATGCGCATTTGATAAAAGGGCTAAACATAATAGCTTGTATAAAATGTCTTTAGGTAGAGTACATATTGCCGAGGAGACATTATTGTTAGAGGAATGTGGATAATTGCTGCGTCCTTATCATCACATGTTGTTGCTTAATATTAATATATTTATTTTAATATACTGGACAATGCCTCAACATCTAAACTACGGGACCAACCGATCACTTCTATTAAAGGAGACAAGACAGGTGATATAATACGATACTGCCAATTAGTAATCACTTTAGCTTTTCTAGTTTTCACTAATTTCACAATCTAAACGCGCGTCTTCATTAAATTTTTAAACCCTGTTCCACAGCACAGTAACACACAAATTACGTTCCTATTATGTGGATGAAGGAATTCTCATCGTAATCATAAACCGCTTCTTTTCCATAAATGTCTAATTAACTTCCTGACTTCCTATTCCAACGAACTAACGCGTTGACATGTGCTTTTTTTCGTACGAAAGAATTCCCATCGTAAACACAACCGCTTCTTTTCCATAACCTTTTCCTAGGCAACACACTGTGTGCTTTTCCATAAACTTTCTTTATAGAATTCCTTATTCCAACATCCATATCATTCATCCTTGTTATGAGAAACTTAGACACGACAGCGTGTTGATCTGTGAAAGGAAATCAATCGTCCTACTCAACTCCATCTGCGAATGGTGCATTCCCATATCCGCTGTGAATTGAACGTGAAAAACGCGATCACTATACAGACTTCTTTGGACGAGAAATGACTATCACCACGTTGGTTGTAATTGTTATGACACTCGCGCAACCTTGCATGCCCGTACGTCGAATACACTTAAATACTCCATCTTTCCATGCATCGGATTGCTCTTCATCAAATACGTGACAATCTACTTCTACATCAAGCACATCGTGTAGGTTCCTCCACACTTTGTCTACGACGATCGGACTAGAGAAATAACGAGAAAGGGGCGGATCGGGAATATGCTCATGAACAATATACCGGTTAGAAC